ACACACACACACACACACACACACACACACACACCTACACCTACACCTACGCCATTTGCTTTCACACGCATGCTGGACCGCCTCCTTCTGCTGCTACTCCGCCCACACGCTCTGCTTCATCCCTGTAGGCCAGATGGGCGTGCAGCAGGYGGGGCGGGGGAGCTTCCGGGGGGTGGGAACTAAGCCATGCTTCACGTCCTGCGCCGAACTGKGTGCTTCCATTTTCATTGACTCGAATATGCTTTCTCTGTGTGTTTAGGTTAGTTTTTTTTTTTTAGCTGCACATGAGAATCCCGCCCCTGCCATCGTGTTAGACTGAAGAAATTCAGCGATCCTTTTTAGTAATGCCGAGGGGAAATGTTATTCTAAGCCCTTTAAATCAGAAATAAAAAAAAGTGGTCGTGTTTGTTCGACACTGTTGGAGTTGTGACTCCGTGTCATGACCACAGTGATCATGTTATAACTTTGTAGCACGGCACTGTGAGAGCTTGTGCCATTATCTTGAGTGTAAACACCTAATTTGCCCTCATGCCAGTCATCCACACTTTGCTGCTAAAAGGCTCCTCTCACACGCTGTCATTTTCTACCTGCTTTCTCTTCTCTGCAGTTTCCTTGTTGCTTTAACCTCACACAACCCCCCCATCACATCTCTTTTATTACAGTTAGCTTCAGCGCTCACCCAGAGGCATAAACGGAGGGCCGGCATGCCTGACAGCACTGCCGTCATCAAAACAGGCGTTTATTTCTTCACTAGGATTCCAGATAYTTAAATCTAAGGCACTCTACTCTGTTTTATCAGTTTTAAATGAGTCACTTTACTTTCACCTTTTATGATTTCTCTCTTTACTGTTCTTATATTTCTCTTCTACTTTTTCTTTTTCTTTCTTACTATAGTATTATTTAAAAAAGCCACTGATGACGCAGAAATTAAGAAACGAACATTCAGTTTTGTTTTCCACTGAAGTGGCAAAAAAAAAAAAAAAACAGAGAGAAGTTGAAAAACACATTTCCACACAACTTTTATGCTATTGACCAAAGTGGAAGGCTCCCACATTGAAATCAGACCAACATAGCAGGAGATTGTGCACAAAGAGAMGGAAGTGTTGGGTTGCGTCAGGGAAGCTTACATAAAGTCTATTTATTGAGTTCAATAAGGCCCAGAAATGCCTTATTGAACTCAGAAGAAGGATTCACACAACTTCTGCAATTCTTCCACAAAAGAAAAGTTGCAGAAGTATTTATTGRGGTTCTTTGGGGGAAAAAATCTTCACAGATCATAGTTCAGCTGTATTATACAAAAGTGAAAGAGTGGACACTCTCTGTTATATTTACAATAAAACTCAATTTGTTAACTGACCTTTTCTTTTTAAAAAGGCAAATCCTAATGTTAAAAATAATTCTCCACCAAGGCTTTTGACAGCATGGCAGCATCCATTTGACGTGTGTCAAATTCAAGGCCCGAGGGCCAAATGTGGCCCCCCGTGGCATTTTATGTGGCCGGCAGGAGCTTCAAAAATGTGTTGCTTTAACACTAACATTGACTATTCTCAGGGTTTAAAAGTAGTCAGCAAATATCGCTGTGTAAAATCTCCCTTTAGTTGCTTTTTTTGCTGGCCTCTTTTGCTGCAGTCCAGTTGTACAGGAATGTGGGAATTTCCCACTTACAAGTTGTAAATTTAAACCGGAACACCCCTCGGGAAGTGGGAGGGTTCAGAATTTGAGAATGTAGCAACTCACCACAACTTAACATTGAGTAAAACTCACTTACTTTTACTTTTAATAGTATTTTGATATTGTTTATTTCACATTTATTCAGTTGTACACGTAGTACTTTTCAGTGTTTATAAGAGGACATGTTAAACACTGAAAAGTCCTACGTGTACAACTGAATAAATGTGAAATAAGCAATATCAAAATACATTAAAAGTAAAAGTAAGTGAGTTTTACTCAATGTTAAGTTGTGGTAAGTTGCTACATTCTCAAATTCTGAGCTCTCCCACTTCCCGACAGGGGATTCCCACTGGAGGGGTGTTCCGGTTTATATTTACAACTTGTAAGTGGGAATTCCCTGTCGGGAAGTGGGAGAGTTCAGAATTTGAGAATGTAGTAACTCACCACAACTTAACATTGAGTAAAACTCACTTACTTTTACTTTTAATAGTATTTTGATATTGCTTATTTCACATTTAGTCAGTTGTACACGTAGTACTTTTCATTGTTTATAAGAGGACATGTTAAAACATTGTTCATTTGCAGGAAACACCAGGTAGAGCTCAGTTAGTGTTTGTTAGCGGTGAAAAAAAGAAAGAATAAATCAAATCAAAGAATTTCTTTTTTTTTTTGATTTATGAAACAGGATGTTAATCTTGGCTAACGATACACAAACTTTGTATACATTTTTTTAGTATCCAAAACATTGTTTCTTTTATCAAATTAGCTTTAATAAAAACATTACTCCATTTGCTCTGTCACCTGTGTAGATTAAAGTCTTGTTGAGCAGTAAAAATCCGGTGCCCAATCCCTTTTTCCTCCCTACCTTCTTTACACTCCAGGGCCACTCTTGACTCCAGGTTGTCCATTTGCAGCTGCAGCCGTTTCAGGGTGCGGTCCGCGTCCCTCGACTTCCTCTTGTAGGCTATCAGCACAGCGATGATGACCAACAGGAGGAGGCCACCACCTCCTCCGATACCAATGATGGCTGGCAGGGTTAGCAGGCTGTCCGAGTAGATGTGAAGAGTCCCCGGGGAGTACTCAAATCCTCCAGCACGGATCTAAACGCAAACAATTTGGGGCAGAAATGTGGATTTAATTTTATTTTTCAACACAACTACATAGTTTTTCATCAAATAGCTGCTCACTGTAAACTGGCTTTTGTTTGTGGGCAGTTAATAAGTTATGTGTTACACCAAAGTCTACAGAGTGTTGTTCAGGTRTAGCTTCATCAAAGCTTTTTATACATTAAACACCAAACATAAAAAAACGAGAAAAGGGAAAACAGCCAGTGGCCATTCCTTCAGCAGCAGATGTTTGAGAATAGACGAGGTGGTCAGAAGAGATCAAAAGTTGTTCATCTGATGAAAGAGAAACTTGCTGACCCAATTTCTACAAAGATCATTAAATTTTCATCAGTTCTGCAGTCGCACTAAACAGTCCGATCATTGACAGGCTGATTCTGCGAACGCTTACATCAACCTTGACTGTTGTGAACATTTCTTGTAGGAAAGGTTTTCGATTCTTGCCTTTAGGGAAGCGACTTCAGAGGGTGTTATTAATGAAGTTTTCAAACGCTAACTCGCTGCTTTCTTTTATTGCTGGGGCATCTGCAGACGTCTACGAAGACTCGCTGTTTTGTGCTTGATATTTGGCTGTTAATGTCTTCATTCATCACTGACAACTTTAACTGATTTTGATCAAAAAGTGAACGACGTGCACGTGGACAAGGATGGAGAAGTGCAGAACAGGACGACACAGATATTAACGACACATACGTTCATAAAACACCGGAGATCCACACATCTGCGCTACGTATACACGCACACACTGTATAAGTAATCAAACAAAGTAATCACCAGCATTTAAATCTCTCCCCAAGGAGCCATGGTAATTATGGGAAGTCAAACACATCTAATATTTTTCTTTTTTTTTTTCTGACTAACTACATTTATATATGCGCAGTGTGTCACTGGAATCCATCAAATCAAGCTATCCCCAAAGGGGGTTGATAACCGATTCAAATTAAGTGTGATTAGAAGCTTTGAAGTTCTTGTAAGAGCACTTTCATGTTGACATTAACAAAGTCTGAATAAAAAAAAGGCAAGTGGAAGCTGTTATATCAATATCAATACAGTCAATTGCTACAAATTCAATTTGCAATAGGAAAGGCAATTAGAATGACTTCTTTCAGATTWAGCAGCTAATTATCTGTGTGGACATTAACTGCAAAGAACAGGAAATAGATTGTTTGAAAAGAGTTCACAAAAATAAGCTAAAATGTTTTTGCTCCTTGTAGTGGAAGTCTGGTTTCGATGTGAAACAAAAAAAGTATATTAAAGGCCACTCATTTTTAGACAATGAATATTGTCAGCAACCTTAAAGAGGCAATGTCGTGTAAAATCAACTTAAGTTAAAATGTTATACTCTCATAAAAAACATGTCCAAAGCCTTGCTTCGACTCATTCATGCATGTTTGAGAAATCCTGCAGCGTTTTTAGGAAGACATGCTGAGGAGCAAAACGACAGGTGGGGACCAGAAACACCTTTTGGGACCAGAAACGCCTCTGTGGCGTGTCTTTAAGCTGAACTTCCTCATAACGGAGCGTGCCTCCTCACCCCCCACCCCACACACCCCGCCCATGGCTCCTGCAGGCTCTCTGCAGTAACAAAGCAAACGAGTGAAACTGAAAGTGAAACTTAAACTGTCTGCTGTTCTTTATTTCTCACTCAGTGAAGCTCTTTTCAG